GTGTAAAATTTGTCACTTTTGTGTAACATTTGTCATTTTTGAGTAACAAATGATTTTTGCTGGAGATAAATGTTCAATTGACAATTCACTTGCATTCTCATTCACTGAGATCATACACAATTCTCGGAACTATTTTAAATTTTAAATACAAACAATTCTTTAGATGTGTTAAACGCTAGTTAACATTTTCATGTTTCACAGTTTAAAACAAAAGTGAATAATGGCGCCATTTGACCGAAAGACCAAATAATGAAATTAAATGATGTATTTATTTAAGGGCGAATGGTTTAAACAAAACCAACAAAAGTTAATACCAAAAAACGCAATGAGCCGCATCGATTTGCCACATAGTCAATTTCATAACATATATTTCCCACCGATTCATCTATGGTGTGTTTCTAATTTGTTTAATCAATGGAACAAATAAATATACATTTTTATAGCAAATTACATAAATACGGACCGTTTATTATTTGTGAAATGCGTTAGTCATAAGTCTTTAATCGAATTCGAAAATGTCTTTTGCTGAATGCAACTAATTGGATTTTAAACAATCCCGTCAGCGGTCTTAATCATGTAAATGTCATCGTTTTTCGCTTTGTTTATCTGGATGTATTTTTTTACTTCGGCTGTATCGAGATACATGTTTATTTGCTTAAGGTTTGATATGCACAAACACCAGTGATTCGACCATATTTACGTTCAAACTCTGGAACGACGACGAAAAAAGTCATTTTGCAGAGTCCAATCAATTTTATTCACTGCCGTGATGTCATGATTAATCATCGTATTCGCGTGTATCATATATAACATGTCACATGGAATTGTGTATATATAAATTGTATGTTTGGGCTTATGCGGTGTTCGGTATTTGGAATTTCTGTGAACATGTTTTTGGCCACCACAAATAAATTATGTTCAATCCAATCGGTCGATTAATTACTTTTGCGTCCAAAATTTGGCTGTAACAATTATTCGAAAACTCGGCTGGGGGTTCTAACGTTGACAAAATGAGAACTAGCAATTTACAATACTGATCACATGCCGTGTTTTGCGATCATGCTACACCATAATGCGTTTCACATACACCAAAATGTGGTCGGTTCACTTGTACTCTCAGTACCACAAGCGACATTTATCCATAACCACATCGTCTAATTATATATTTATCGCATTAAGTATTCATCGAAAAATGATTTTTGCTTTGTCTTCTAATTTTTTTCATTTTTCCTCTTTATTCAGGTAGTAAACAACGACGGAACAACCCAGTTAATCGAAACACAATAGCGTGAAAGCATCAGTCAAAATAACATAATCTCAGGTTTGTTGAATATAGTTGTATATTGAAATTCACTCCAGATTTATGACGATACTACGAAATTTTCATTGAATGAATTAAATCACTAATCATAATCAGTGTCTTAACGTCATATTATCGTTAGAAAATTGGATGGTTTGAATTCCACCTTTGCGGGAAGAGAAAGAACTATCTCCATGCACACAATTTCTCATTAAATAAATTTCCTTCTTTTTTTTTTAAAAAAAATGACCGAACTGCGCCTTAACTATAGTTGGAAAAAAATGGCAATTTTCAAAAGAAACTTTATGTCAAATTCAGACAAACTGCACGAAAATTCGCTCCACCGAAATAATTTCCATGCTACGCTACTGACATTTTCTTGTATGCTATAATCTTCTTAGTGTGTTATAACACAAATTTATATGGATTGTGTTGCTACAAGGTTAATAGGATAAACATTAAACAATTTGATATAAATCCTCTGATATAATTGCAAATGCCACATTAAATCAAAATATATCATATTAAAGATTTCCAACTATTACAAAATAACACTATTATTAGTTAGCAGTGAAGATTTTAGATTGAGACTCATCAATTATATTTCAACCAGTTCTCAAAAGGAAAATGCTCTTATAGTTCTTCCTATACATAGTGTTTTGCAATTTAATGTCACATATGAAAAATTCATGAGCGCGGAATATAGAAATATAATTTTTCTAAATGAAAACTTATTATATTTGTTCTTGGCTTATTTTTTTTTCTATTTTCAGAATGGAGTTCAACATTTTATTGTTGTTATCAATAGTTGGATTTGGATTTGTAAGTGGTCGTCAATGTCCAAGTCAATGTACGTGCAATTTGGATGAAAGAGGTTTCATTCAAACTATATGCAATCGAGGTGGAATGTCATCAATACCAATTCTTGAAATGGATCAAGAAACTGAAATTTTAATAATTCGTGGTCCCCGGAACGACCTCACCATCGGTCCGTTATTCAGACCATTGAAACGTTTAGAAATACTTCGAATCACTGATTCCAATGTGCCGTCAGTTGGTACATATTCGTTTTGGGGCGTAGAGCGTCTACGAATTTTGGGTAAATTCAATTTTCTTTATTTTCTCATTTACTTCACATACATATACCTTTTGTTAACATATTTTTTCTGTCTATATTTGGTTTCGATTGGTAATACATTTTGCAGATTTATCTCGTAATAATATAACAGCGATTTCGCAGGACAACTTTAAAGGTCAAGAGCATCTTGATGAATTAAATTTATCGCATAACAAAATTAACGGCTTAACATCATGGGTTTTCGATAATCTAAAGGTAAATTATAGCCATTTATTTATCTTCACCCCGTTGGTATGGTGGAAAAAAAGTGTCGAACACATAATGACAAACAAACAGCCGATGTGTCGACTGTGTCGAGTGTGTGAGAGAAAAAGAGAAAAGAGAGGGTGAGAAGAGACAGTTTGCAAGCAATAAAATATGTGTTCTTCGAGCAATGAAATGCTTGACAATAATAAAATATCGTTTGTTTCCATCCCCTTCATTTATTGATTCATTTCGTATTTTGCAGGATTTGCGACGTCTTAGCTTGGCCAATAATTTAATCGAAAAATTACCGTTGCGAGTTTTTTACAAGGTGTCCAAATTGAAATACTTGGATCTGAGCGAAAATCCATTGGACGATTTACCACCTGATGTGTTCACGGATATTACAGTACGTACATCGAAGAAAATCGATTGAAAATTCAAGATTATGTTCGAAATTGCTGTTGTAAACGACCATATATAACACGCATTCGATGCTTTTGCTATTTTAATAAAAAAAAATCGAAAACTGGAAACTGGAGCGGCACATGAGAAGCACTGAATTGTACATTGAATGGATGAAACACATGGGAACATGCAGAGTGTGTTCGATAGACATGGTGGTTTTTTTCTTCGTCGTTTCCTTCTAACTCGCTATGTAATCACACAACCAATATCTTAAACATGAACAAACTGTTCATTCAGGGAGCCGGTGCTAGTGCACGATATTTCCAAAATGATAAACAGCTCGTTCAAGAGAATTACCGCTATTTTATTGCGTTATAACGTTTTCAATGTGTTTGTGTGTGTCTATGTGTCTATCCTCTATCTACAAAGTAAAAGTGCTGGTTTTATTTTCATCGATCATTTTGTATCTTGTATGGATATAGTCAGCATGTGACGGTCATTCGCTTGTGAAATTGATCATAAATTTATTTTAGCTACTTAATAACCATCGTTTTGCATAAAAGTGGCACAGTATTCCCTGTCTTATTCTTGTCATACATTGAATATTCACTCGGTTATCGATTGGCTGGCGTTTTTATTTTTTACTTCATGCTGCGGCCAATTTTCCTACAAGAATTTTGATCGTCTTTGCCTTGTGGCTGTTAAAAATGGAATTTTCTCGTATGTATGCTTACAACACTGTTCATACAAAACCGATACAAATTGCTTTCCGTCGATTTATCCATCGTTCTCATAAATTGTGTGTACGCTAAGACGACGATGGTACGATGCAAATGAAAATAAAACCCTAATTGAATAGTTGTCGACCGTTTTTATGCTTCCTATCCGTATCGCATACATTGCAATGCATGTGCTTCGTATTCAGTTCTCTACAATAAGGAGAAATAAACAAAAAGAAACGCATAACCAATTTCTCGTAGTTCATTTTATCCATTCTTCTTCTTGGTCAATATTTTTCGAAAACAGGAATTAAGGGAGCTAAAATGTCGAAAATGTTTGCTGAAAGAAGTCAATGCAAAACTATTCCGGAGTATACCACGCTTAAGCGAACTGGATCTAGGCGAAAATTATGTAAATATATTATAAAATAAGTTCAGTTTTTTGTTACCGCTTTCTCATTGAATTTCTACCCTTTTTTTAATCATCTTTATAAGATTGTTCGTTTTTCATCATTGTATATTTCCATTATTTTTGATGTTAATTAACGTAATTATTATTTGCTAGCTTAAGCACATCAAGGAAGGTGATTTTAAGGACTTAAAGCGTCTTACCAAACTTTATCTCGATGGGAACCAACTTGATGCGATTGGAGAACATGTATTTTCAACACAAAAAAGCCTTGAATCACTCGGTAAGTATTTACATAGACTTTTTGCAGTAAGTTACGTTGAAATAAAATTTCTGTACCGGCTTTGCACACTTTTGATGCTACAGTTATGCATCACTTTTGAATGTTTTGTATAATTTTTTACTTTCATTTTTTAACGATTCACTTTATGCAAGGTATTATGATTCAGAATGGTTTCTTTTTGATTTCATCGCACCATATACTTCCTTTATCGCTCATATTGTATATTTATTTGTATTTTTTTAGATTTGTCCTATAATAATCTGGTAAAAGTATCAAAGGAATCCATATTACATCTATCAAACCTCACGACGCTCGATCTTTCGTACAACGACATAGAATACTTGATGGCGGGTGTCGTTTATCCATGGACGAAAGTGCACACATTGAATATCAGTGGAAACATACGACTTCCCACGTCACGCATTTTTCTCTCATCATTTTTCGTAAGTTTATCTTAAATTCTTGCTATTCATTCAATTGGGAATTTAACTTTTCGTCGAATTAAAAACAAAAGCAGAATCCTTCAATGTTACATTTTAAGAACCATCGAAAATTCCGGCCTAATTACTTTGCATAACTTTTAGTTTGTGAATTATGCAAGGGCCTTTTTCAATTTTTTATATCCCAAAAATTGTTTAACATTCCATTAAAGAGACCATTTGATGGAATCTCAAATGTTTAAGCATATTTCACAGGTCAATGGTTTACTTTGCTCGAAAATATATTGATTATTATTATAATTGAATTGAATCAGTAGAGTTGATAACAATATTTATGGATCTTTCCATTGCCCATGAGTGCTCTATTTTATACCGTTCAATTGCGTCAATAGCGTCGAATGCAATAGAAAATGTTAAAATCATCAATGTGGCCAAGAATATATACACTCATACAGAAGAAAAAGGAGATGAAAAAAGACTCCCGATCGAATTACTTTCTTGTGCAATGTGTGAAGTGAATAATCCATTTTAAATGTCGGAATCTATGTTTATTCGCGTATAAACACTATCGAATCGGTTTCGAACGCGGCGTTATTTTGTTACGACAAACAAATTTTCCAATTTCATGTATATATATTTCATTGCAGCACTGCACAACGTTTATTTTCAACTTTTTTTTACTTTTCGTTGGTGAATTTTTCATTTGCATTTGTTCGAGTGCAGAATAAATTCGTGCCAGAGAACGACAGAGAGGAAGAGAAACGAAGAGATGGAGAGAGAGTGATAGGAAGTGCGAAAAAAGGAGAATGTCCGGATTGGAGTGTAGTTTATAGTGTTGTGCACATAAAAATGCTTAAGTTAGTACATACTAAATTTTATGTGCACACGTTGGCATTGTACAAAATCGAGTACACTTGGAAGAGCATCGAAACGGTATGGGAAAAAGTCAAACCAGAAAATAGATTGTGTGGTGTTGGGGGCAACAAAAATTTGTAAATCAAACGTATTTCAATTGCATCGTATCGTATCTATCATGTGTAACTCCGATTTCCATATAAGTTTCCCTCTCTCTCCCTCTTTCACACACACACTCACTATAAGAGAGAAAAAGAATGAAAAAACTGGATTTTGAGCTGAAGTTTTCGAAACACGATTCTAGTGTGAACCAATAGAGAGGAAAAAAGACGCTGTGAATAATAAAAAGAGCAAAGCTTCTAAACGATCGAAAACCCATTCACGTCACGAGAGACACGAAAACTGTTTTTCCATGCTTGAGCTTGCGAATCAATGTGATGCACATTTCAATTTTTGTTTGGCATTGCCGCTTGATTTTTAGCACATCAATAAAAAAAAACATTTGCACTCGATCTTTTTTGCTCTCTGCTATTTTTCCTACTCCATCTTTACCACTTCCTTCCCTTTTCATCTCGTCTTTTTTTTCGTATAATTCGATCCAAAACATCGTTTCATTTTTCACACTCCAACTGCAGCAAATGGAATGTGGAAAAATCCTATTTAATTTACGGAACGTTAATAAAATTGAATTATCCTTTAATTTCTCTAGAAAATGCCATCGTTGAGAGTTTTGTCGATTGCTGATATGGGCATAGATCCACTGCACCTATTGAATCCATCGTTTGATCAATTAAAAGTGTTGAATTTGTCCGGCAATCATTTGGTGAATACATCGTTGAAGCCACTTGATCCGTTCAACAGTTTAGAGGTAAGTGCAATATCACGTTATTTGTCGCTTGTTGTACAAACAGAAATATTTCATTGAACAAGAGCTCACGAAGTGTGATGTGCCGTGCAAAATATTGGGTTCAGAAAAAAACCTCAATTACATTTGCGCCGTTGCTTTCAGCGCGCGCACACACATCCTCAACAGAAGTTGTGTTGCCACAAACGGAAATTGCATTTCACCCGTTGCGTGCACACCGAAATCAAATTAGCAAGCGACGAGATTTTAAAGAAAATACATACACCGTACATACATACATACACCCAATACTTGTCATTTATAAATCAAACAAGTTGAAATACATTCGCAAAACGCTATGTTTCAAACGGATGTTAGTTTTTCTTTTCGGTTTTTAATTCTTATAATCGAATTTCCGTTGATTTTTTTTCGGTGGCAAAGTTTTATTTGAAAAGTTTTTTGTGTTAGCTTTGGAATGAAATCAAAATAACTTTCTAAACGAAAGACAACTACCAAAGGAAAATTTAGTCATTCTTCAATTTATTTTCATGATTTTGGGAATTTTTGATACAAAAACATGCATCTCCAAATTATTCTTTTTTTTTTTTCAAAAAAAATTATTCCTTTTAAATATTAGAACTGGATACGACAAGCTAATGATGTCAAATCAGTTCACCTACATTTTTGATTTTCATCGAACTGACACTAGCTTTGGCGTAACCACGATGAGAACCGTCAAAAAAAAACAAAGTTGCTATTGGGACATATTTTTACAATTTTCTTTTTCAAATAAATTGTTTGTAGCTATTGGATTTGTCGAGAAATGATATAAAAGGCTTTGATGAATATCTAGTATGGAAACTGCAACAAATAAAAGATGTTAAACTGGAAAAAAATCCGATCATATGCGACAGATGCCACATGGGAGCACTTATAGATATCTCACACACGGTACGTATTATTTTTCATAACATTTTTGGCTAACACACGAGACAAAACAGATATGACAAAATACATCGAATACATAGACATAGAGACTAATAGCCAGAGACGAGAGAGAAAGATTTGATCCGGCCTATTTTGTATTTTTCCCTTTTTTCGTTTGCGCATTTAAAGTTGTCATCGTTGTTAATCTGTTAAGATTTATGTTCATTCATGAATATTTTCTGTGATGGGAGCTCTTTCTATTTTTCTTTCTCTCTCTCTCTCTCTCTCTGGGTATGTGTCTTTTTTTCTATTGCTTTGAACCAATGGTTTAAAATAGCATTCTATAAAAGTCCACCCGTCATTGGCAACTGAACACATGCTATGCACTCTCAATAAAAAGTGGCAAAGTTCGTGTTTGGCTAAACCATGTGGAAAAATGTCAACATGTTTGACAAACTAAATTGTAACGAGTTTGAGGAATGAGAATCGGATTTCTCCATCTCCTGGTCAAGTACACACATTCTAATCGAATTTCATCGTTCCGTTATTCATCTACAGCTACCATGGAATATTTATCCCATTTGCTATTGGCCAGACTCACTACGGAACAAACCAATTTCCGACATAAACGCAACTGCACTGGAGTCATGCAACGATTTTGACAACGATCTCTATGATTTTGGCGGAATATCCGAGAATATCCTATTGAAACGGGGTGAGTTGACTGAAATGCTTAAAATCATTCAAAAATTCAATTATTTCAATTGTACACATTCGTTTTCCAGGCAATTTCAATCTTTTTGCGATTATTTGTGCCACTGGCTTCATCACCATTGCAATCATTGTGCTAATTATTGTCTTAAATGTGAATCGACACTCGGCCAAATACTATACAAACGAGGACAAACGTTGCGGTAAGAATGACAACATACATTATCATTTTCAGCATGATATCGACGATTTAATTTGCACACACCATTCCACAAATTTTACAGACGGACTATATGAGAAAAATATCGATACGCTTTCAATTACCGGAAATGAGTTGAATTACAAATTTCCCATCGAAGACATCATTTACACAATAGACGAGACGACATTGCAGCCACCAACACAGCCACCGTTAATAACGTCATTCACCACACGGAACGGGTAAATTAAAGTTGACATGCAGTTTACTTAATTTTTTTAACGGAGTCAGTCCAACCAAAATTCAATTGTAGCTTACCATTAACGGCAATTATCGGTAGCTATTTAAAGCGCAGATTTTCGACGATAAAACAGAAAACTTTTTTTCCAAACGCTTTTAAAGTGTGCGGTAATTGCCGAAAAATGTTAGCATTTTATACATTTTTTATTCGATAAAATCGATGAAATTCCAAGAATTTGTCGGTCGCCTTGTGAACGATTGCATTTTCGTTGTCGTTCAAGTGGTGACAATAAGCGTCAACGCTCAAACACGGTCTATATGTCAAGAGGTAAATAATTTTCTTAAGTGCAAAAAGAAAAAAGAAGCAACACTCAAGTGGTATTCAATACCCTTCACAGTGCATCCCTTCACATCACCATCGATGTGTTTGAGTGTGTTTATATGACATTATTATTGTATGTATCTTTATCAATGTGTTGTAGTTTTATTGCATTTTCTATGATCGTTTCTCATCATCCGCATCATCCATTTTTAAGAGCTGAAATAGTTTAAGTGCCAAGCCAAGCTACATTTTACTATTTGCTTTTAGTGATTCATTAAAACAATTTTCACGCTCTCATCTTATATACACTTTCTTCGGCTCTACATTACTTCATTCATTTTCCACTTTCACAATCAATGTGTTATAGTTGACACAACTAAATCATGTGAACATACAATAAACATAAAAAAAAAATGTGAAGAAAACCGAGCTGACGGTATATTTATACAAAGAAATTTTATGACATAAATGGCCACCGCAAAAATGACGCATAACATTTTTGAAAAATATTGGATCATTAAAATGGAAAAGAAATATTTTATGTATAACGTCTTTGTTATGAAACGAAAAGATTGTGTTGTTTCAATAAACCATTAAATGGTGATTACGGACAGTGTTCGTATTTTAATAACTCATTTCAAAATTCATATTTTGGACGAAAACAATGAATTTTCCTTCTCGAAAACATTCAGCACGTTTTAAGTGATGATTTTCACCATCCAATAGGTCTGGCTAAATAGCTCAGCTATATTATGAAAGTTTCCGATTTTTCTCGGGACCGATGAGCGGTCTATTAATCAATGAACGGCCAACGAACGCATAACCACGATTTTGCCAAAGTTTCTTCGGTACTTTATCTTCGTAGAAATTTTCTGTTCCATTTTATTCAAGCTTTGCGTTTTACCTCTTCAAATGTATATTATTCTAATTGCTTGACTTTCAAATAGAAAATATTTCATCGAATTATTTCCATAAGAAACTCATCCCAACTCATAGAAATAATTTCAGAGTCTTAGATACTGTGGTGGTCCGGCGTCTTATACAAAATCATGGTTATGAGAGTCACGCGTTCGATAGCTGCTTTCTATGAATATAGCTGATATAGCCAGTCAGTTCTATTGTACGATGCTGCTGCGCTTGTGGGAAAAGAAATTCTTTAAATAAACACTGATGCATGTATACATCGAAATTCAATTTAAAACTACTACGCTATTATTCTTTCATCGACCAAATGGCAAAAAGTGCCAATTTCATCGAAACTTGACTATAAAAATAAACTGCCAATGTCAATTTTATGCTAGGATAATGGTTTAATTTTACTCTTCTATTGCAGTTATATCACGTTTGATTGCGATTATTATTCTTATTTTTAAGATGACTTTATTTTTTAACATTATTCAAGACTTATACACAAACACTTTTATATTCGACGCTGTAAATAATGAATATTTTTACCAAAATGTATTATTAGACTAATGGAATGAGTCTGCTGGATTTAAGCACTTTTTTTATTAAACCGTTTTTTTTTTCTTCATAAATGTAATTTTCAGACAATCATGAATGTATTAGCTAGTAGCCAATCTTATTGTATTTAATTTAAGATCAATTAGGAGTCAAACGTCTTTGTAATGAAATTCAATTTAATTGTGAAGAACCTTTTTTGCAAAGAAAATTTGTAAAATTAGTAGATTTTAAGAAATGTTGTTTGTAACGAATTTCACTATATAGATTGAATTTGAAAAAAATGTCCAATTGTCTCCAAGATTTATATTGCTTAAAAGTGAACATTTTAACTGAATTAAATTATTTAAAATTGTAACATTTTACAAAAACTTTTTGAAAAAATACATTTTATTTTCTTAATTAAACAAATTAAAAATGCAATGAAACGGAATTTGACTTTTATTTCTCGATTTGCTCGATTCGAATTAAAGCGAAAGAGAGAGAGGCGGAAAGCAATCGTGAGATTCATTTGAAGTGCAATTCAATTGAAATTGATTTTGAATTGAAATGTTGTCGTCAATGGTAAGTGTTCAGTGTGCAGACGCTCGGAAATAAAATGGTCAAACAAAACTTTGAATGATACTTAATTACAGTTTTTCATTAAAAACGTAAACTCTTAAAAAGCCTGAAACTGTTTCTGTCCATAGACATTGGGGCGTCAAACTACATTGTAATGCGTCTTATGAAAATAATAAAAATCGAATCTGTTTGTTATAAATGTAGCTCTCAAGTACACTTTATTCTTCGTTCTTGATTTTTTTCTCTGTCTGTCGGATATAAAGAGGATGCAATTACTGGTAATTCATTATGGAAATGTGAAGTTTGGACATTTGTATTACATTGAGCGAAACATTATGCAGTGCTGATTGTCGACTATCTGTCATCCAATGTCATCATGGAAAATACGAAAGAAAAATTGACAAAAAATGTGGCATTGCGTGTGAAGGGTGAAAATAGAGAATTTTTTCAATTTTCTCTTAGCATATATAAATAGAAATGCAGTGTGTGACATCTGTGTCGCCATGAAATTTCTCATCCATTTCAAAATTGTCATTTGAATGTAATCATATTTAGTGACGTCGGTTTATCAAATTTAAAACCACAGGGGAACTATAAATAACAATTAACTTAAAGAATGGATTTTGGAATAGTAAAAGTGTGGTACGGTAGACATGGCAAGAAAAATGTTCGGCAGTGAAAAGGAGGAGTTTATGATTCGGCATATATTTCCAAAATATGTACGAAGAGATTGAGCAAATATGGCACAGCAAGTAGTAATGCCATAAAAACATAATAAACACTTCATCGAGTTTGTGGATGTCATCATATCAGTGCTGCATTATCTATCAGATTTGCTGCGAATACAATTTCTTATTTACAATTTTTCTTTTCGGGGAAAATCAACGCCGCACTTGAGAATACATGCTGAGCAGTTTTATAAGCAGTTGAAGGATTGAATGATTGTATTTCTCACGGAATGGATTTGAGCTCTTTTTCTTCCTTTTTCTCTCTTGCCAACGCGAAATATGCAATAAAATTGGGAAATACATATCCCACGAAGAAAATCCATAGACCAAACCTGTCGTGCTGCGGTGGCAGGAAAGAAAAACCAATGTCAGTTCAATATTTCAATCATATGGGTGCATTGCGACACATAGACTTTCCAAAACATAGTAATCGAAGGAAATGGAACGGTTGCTCGGCAAAACACAAATCTACCTAATCTCATCCACTTAATCCAATGTTGTCATTTTATGAAAAATTCAAATTCAGGTCAAATCGATTTTTTTTATATTTTGACATTCAATTATTTGTTTTTCATATTTTTTTCTCATAAAAATCGAAAATATTCAAATTTCATTTATAAAATTCATTTCTACTTTGTATCCCGGTGCGATTAGTAACGAAAAATTCAATATTTGATCCTATAGTTGATACCGATTTCCATTTTCAATCTCACATCCATGAATATATTTAGACAAAAACACTATATTTGATGTGACGAGATCTCTCTCTCTCTCTCTCTCTCTCTCTCTCTCTCTCTTGTCTAGAATATGAATTATTGTAATCGACCACCATGGTGCATACAACATGGTGATGCTCAAATTGAATGTAAGCCATAACCATAAAATAAACATTGGCCAGCAAACAGAACAACACAGTTTGAAGTGAGGCATTTGGATACCAAATATGCGTCCGAAAATATATGCATACTTTTTGCGGTAGTAAAAACAACAAAATGAAATATACACTCACGCAAAAAAAGAACTGAAAGAAATTCTTTGACATTTTATGTCAAATGCAGGGATTGAGTGTCGGTTTTCGAAGCCACCAACAAACCGGCTCAGTAAATATAAAACATTCATTGTGATAAAACGGACGAAAAAGCGACCGTAGAGAGAAAAATATCATAATTTTATCGCTTGGAAGAATGAAGAATTCTACCGCAATGCTTGATACGCACCACACACCGGTCAAAGTCGATAAGCTTTGTCTCTCTCGTTCATCCGAAAATTTAATTATATCCGCTTCAAAAAAAATGCAGATAAAATCAGGCCTAACGCAGGTCAACATAAATTACGAAAAGTGATACACGATTTGAGGATCATTATTCATGAACACTACATTAAAATTTAAACGTTTACGCTTGATATAGAGTTGAATTACTTTTGGCACATACAAAGTTTGAAATTACAAATGCCAAAATGTGATTTTTTGAGGGGAAGGAACGACCTTCGGACAAAAGATTTTCACTCATTTTATTGTATTCTTAACAAACTGCTGGCAATTTGGAACTATGGCAATTTCACTTTGATCTAAGTAAACTTCATGAATATACTGTGTCTTTTATATGCACATCTTCACATGACACACAACTTTCTCCACAATTTTTTTATTGTTTTGTTTATTGTACGTATAGCAGAGCAGAACATTCCAAGCATCACTTAAATTCATCATCAGTCGGGGATGTTTTGTGTATGTTGTATGTGTGTATCGGTTGAACAACAGTATAAATACAACAAAGTAATGGATATATATATATATATATATATATGGCAATAAAATCATTATGATTATTCGTAAAGAGAAAATAGCAAAAAACGGAAATAGGGTATACAACCAAAAGCATACAATAATTCATCAATATGAAATTGTCCTTTTGATGTTTTTCATCGTTATTCAAGTTCTTTGGGTTATGACTATACAGTATACACCAACATTATATAACAATAAATGGCAAACATTTTGGATGGAATGTTACTGTTAACGAAAACTTTGTCACTGCGTTGGATATTGTGGCCCGTTTGATATTCAAGTGATCAAACTCTCGAACTAATCGCTGTCATTTGAATTGACAGTTTCAAATTCGAAAATTTCGAATTGATTTACCAACCATTTCATCAAAGGTCTGGAATGCTACAAATAATTCAATTGCCTTTATCAATATCTCACAAAAACTTTTGGTCCACTCTCGACCGAATAATTTTCACAAAACAGTGAAATGAATCGAATGCGGTAACAAGAAGAAAATCAAATGTTCTGGAATAAATGATCAATTGTGCAATTTGTGCGACATAAAGACAAATTCTAAATTCGACGTACCAAAAAGTGAATGGATCTATGGCAATAAATAAATAATTGGTCGTGAAATATTGTTCAATGTCTGGATATGATTCGAATAAATTAAAATTATTCATTGAGCGTAAATCGTTTACAGACAGTTTGAAGCAAAAACTCGGTTTTGACCCATCAAATCACAGTCAAAAACAAAAAAAAACACCACATTCAATGTGTTTTTGAAATTATTGTCGATAAGAAAATTCATAACGTTAGATATATTCTTTTTAAAAAACACACACAAACAGATTTATGTTGATGAAGTAATTACGAATTGCAAATGGTCTCGAAATGTTCACAGACTGTCTCAACAAAAAATACATTGAACTACAGTTATTATGTCTGCATCATGATGTGCATATCGCAAACTGTAAAGAAAAAAGAGATATATTCATGGAATAATATTTATACATGTCGTCTCAGGCTTCACGCCGCCACACGCATACAAATTTTATTGGAACTTGTTAATTTCGACATCAACATCACCCACTACCAGATGTAATATGTAATGTTTTCTTTTGTCTTGAACATATTGAATATATTAACACCTTTTTCACCGACATAATTCAATTTATTTGCGTAAATTTACGTCAATTAGCATTTTGAGTGAAGCTTTGTTTTTGGTCGAATTCCTGGCAAAGGGAGTTACAAACTTTTTATGTGAAAAACGTCGTTGAAAAAAATTAACGTTGACCGGAATAAATGGAAACAAGATAAATGTCAGCTAATTAGCCGTTATAATACACAGTGTAAATTTGATATTTCTTCGGTGTTTAACTTCGCTTTTTGAACCGCAGAATGGTGCATAATTGAATAATAAAGTACATTTTGATGACTAAATTAAAGCAGTTTTTCTCTGGATGCAGTAATGCTTGGGAGTAAGTATCACATTTCGCAACTGAGTAATGTGCGCTGAAGGCGCTATTCAACTTGTTTTTTTTTGTTGTTGTTGCACGAGTAATTGCGGGTAATTTTATTCACATCAATCATTTTGTTAAGATGCTTCATCACTCAATGCCAATAAAATGTGCAAAGGAGACAGAGAGATTTTCAAATGAAATAAGATAAACACAAGCATAAATAAAATTTCCATTCATCAGTCATCATTATTTAGCGCTCAACTCGAAGAAAACCTCACCCAGATGAATATCACCACTTGAGCAATGCAACATAAGCATAGCGTGAGAAAATTGACAAACGCCCTGGATTTGTGCTCAATGTTTTGATAGACTTAAAACACAATAATCAACATCACAATGCGACAGTTAATTTTATCTTGTTGTTTTAGAGCAATAAAACTTTTTATATTTACTATTTGTTACGAAATGAGATTTTCATCAATTCGTTATTAATTGTTTGATAAACAAGCGTCGATTTATGGTGTACACGATTCCGCATTACAATGCATCAACAACGAGAGTGATGAATGAGTTAGTATTGTAAAATGGTCAAGTAGTCTTGAAGAGGCTTGACGAACGGCAAAATAATTTTCCGGTTGTAAAACGGAATGTTTTACGATCCCAACAGAAAATTTGAAGAAATCTTGGGGGAGAGCACAAGAGTTAGTTGCGGGATAAATATATATCGACTGAAGTATCAAAAATACATAAATTTTGCCAACAACAAGATTTGTTG